CAAACATGTGGTACATAATAAATGTAGAAGCTATCAGACTGACTCTAGCTTTTTAGTCATATCTAAACCCCAAAGAAAGTGAATGTGGCGAATCTCAGGATTGTCAGTCAATAAGTGATAAGAAGAGCCATCATTTTCTTTCATGTTTTAGTGGCCCTTGAGGGATTTTTTTTTAAACATAGCAGTCTATATCTCTAATTTGAACAGGGATAAATGTGCTATTTTGCAGATAAAAAGCAAGAAGAAGAGTGTAGATCCCTTGTGCATTCTAAAAGAATGCACAAGCTTTCTCTGTGACAGAGGAAATTGGCTGAACACTAACAATATTACAAACCCTCACCTTTGAGATGAACAAATTGCTTACCTTTACTAGTAGGCGGATTACATTGTTTTTTATCCCACAGTCAACAGCTACCACTTTCGTAGGGTTTCCTTTGCCGTACACCTTGACATCCTGCCATTTTAAAAACCAGAGAATGAGAGGGAAGTCCCAGCTATGAGCAGCAGACCAATACCATAAACACATCTGAGGAGGCTTTGCACTTAGATTGGTAACAGATTGATTGTTAACGACTAGGGAGTGACTGACAGTTAAAAATCAATTTGTAAGAAAGGCACAGCAAGTGCCACACACTGTATCTTTTTTGGTGAGAAAAAAAGTACTTTGCTGTTTTATACAAACTGTTGATTACAGTAACAACAATGATCTCTAAGAAATTGGTTGCTTCCATAATTAACAACCATCCTTCCCATGTTTTTCCTCATTAACAACCAGTAGCAATGGAATTTTCAAATATTATTGCCTGATTCAGCACTAGACAGATGTGGTGATAGATACATCACGCTTTAAATACCAGTTGGTTCTCAATTTGCAATAAAGACCGGATGGGGTAAACGTGTACACTAGGCTTATGCAATGGGACCTAATGGATAAAGTCAGCATGAGAGTCACGGGAATTGCTAGGCTAGCATAGACCAATAGTCCCTTTAGGCTGCCGTGCAATTGTTTTCATTTAAATGGTAGATTTCACAAATGGATCCCAGAGCATATCATAATCATTATCTACATCTAAAGCACTGCTTGGAGGCAGATCCATTTTCACAGGCATTTACCCAAGAAGCAGTTCCCCAAACTTATAAAAGGAGAAATAATAGAAAGAGAGAGAGAAAGCCTAGAAGGCTGGACGCCCACACTGGTTCCTGCTTTGAGGGTTAGCTAGCACATTCTGAACTGAGGATGATTTCATAGTTTGCTAAAGATTTTAGATGAAAGGTGAGATCTGAATATTTAAAAGAACATTTTACTTTAACTGAAACATCTACGTCTCCACAAAGTCTATATGGAATCTGAAATCATAATCCTCAGCCTATACTTAAGGAAAAAAATATAAAAAGTATATCTTTTTTTTCTCCTACTTACTATTCTGAAGAAAAAATGTTCTAGTCCTTCCATGACCTGGGGGAATTATTGCTGAACTGATCCATGAATGCTACAGGTAATCTCTCTCATCAGATAATTTGAAAAAGTATAGATTTATTCTTAACCTTAGGGTTCTGCTACAAAATAAACCAATATTACCATCTAGTTGTAACTACATAAAATTGCAATTATAAGACAATGAATTAAGTTATCAACATTGCCAAGGCATATAGCCAAACAAAACTCATAGGATATATGGAATCTCCTGACACAAATACACATTTTATCATAGCTATAATGAAATTATTTAATTGCACTGACATAAAGAAACAGAACCAGCTTTCACTATTACAATCTCTTCCTTGATGTGATATAGACAAAAATACAGAAATGTTCATTTCTGCTGGTCTCTACACAAACACACTAAATACTGTCCATGCATAATGACAGAAGTTAAGCAAGACCTCACCAACACTTGAACATATGTATTTTCATTTGGACTCGCCAAGAGAGGAAAATATTATGGAGCGTTTTTCCAACTTGTTTGACCACAGAATTTTTTTAAGGTGAATTTCTCCAGGCCAGTTTTCCTCACATTTGTGAAATGCTAGACTAGACCAAGAGCATTCTTAATGCTAACATTCTATCATTCTAAAGGGGAAATGACCCTCTATTGTGTGGCATCTCAAACTAAATCACTTCACTAGGAAACATGTAAAAAACAAAGGGAAAATAGTTCTATGTTATTTGAATGAACAAATTTTAAAGCGAAAAATCAGAAATGACTATTGCATATGCCATGATCGTATGTTATAATGTTGTTCTCCATGTTCATTCTGATTGGTGCTGTGTTGCAACATGAATCATTTCCCAGATGAACAGGTATCAGGAAGGGTGGGGGGACAACATTTCTAAAGACCCTCAGTGGGAAGGTTTTGTCACAGTAGAGGGTAGAATACTCCACACAACCAGAGTGAGCTTTCTAGTGCATTCACATACTATCTCATCACAT